TCTTAGCAGTTGCAAGTTGATAGTTTTACCAGCTGACTTGTGGCATTTTAAAATTGAATGAATTGGGAATGCAACTCCCTAAAGATAGTATGTAATTCAGAAGAAAAGGCACTAATAGTTATCATTATTTGTGAATTTGCAGTGAGGCTGTTGCTCTCACTTTTCTTCTTGTACATTGACTTCTGGGTTTGGGTTGTGTAGTCTAGACTTGGTAGTGAAAAACCATCATTTTGCGTCAGAATTAAAGTTCTTGTCATATCATTAACTTTCCGTCATATGCTTGTCTTCAATGCAAGAGTAGAATGGTGCTAGGCAGCCCTTAGCTGTTTGTGTCTCACCTGATTCACACACCTCTGATAAAAGTTTTGGAAAGACTCTTTAAGTTTTTCCTTCTTCACTTACTACCTTTGAAAAAGAGATCTTTGATTTTAGCACGTAGATCTAAATTTGTAGTCACCAGGACAGGAAAGTGAATGAACTGGAAATAAAGAGAAGTCCATTAAATGGGAAGTCTAAATTCTCTAATGTAACATGGTGGAAAGGCATATATAATCCCAGATATATATTTATCTCATACAAAATTATGTATTTTGGTGTTAGGTATTTTACTGATTGTAGTACAGAGTCGTGCTTCTCTTACTATGTAATCAATTCTTTGCAGAAGACCACCAGTTTACCCTGGTTATGCTTTTCAAAGTCTTTTTCCTCACTTCTGAGGGAGATAGGAGAAAAAAAAATTGCTGCTATTGTGTTTATTAGCGCAACAGGAGATTTTTCTCTTCCTGTGGTCTTTTTCCTGGCACTTTAGCAGAACTAGATGGCAAAGAAAAGGTTTAGTAAGTCTGGCCTCAGTAATTTCATAATATGGAGTCCTATTTTGTCTTCAGGTCCCATGGCATTTTTATAGATTGGTAAGGTATGGCTGACCACCAGACCTTGGCCATATGGCTGAAAGCAAAAAAATTCTGCCCGGTCTCATGGCAAAAGATTGTTTAACTGGCTCTATGCTCTACAAAAGCTCCTGTGCTACTGTTTGATGGGAATGGTATGAGGGAAGGGAACTCTCAGACAAATATGGATTTCGGGAAGAGTGAGCCTGCACGTTTCCAGCAGCTGAGCCCGCTGGTGAACTTATCACCCTCTGTCGCTCACTGATGTGAAGGCTCCCGACCAGTTTTGCCCCCTGAAATGCAGCTGCAATTTCCGCCTGTGGTGTGTGGCTCTGGTTAACTGAAGCTGACACAGACCCACAATCTAAGCTGTTGTGTCTGGCTTTCACAGGACGTGGTCAGAGCCCAGGAGCAGCAGTACCCAGGCCCATTATCCTGCCTCTAGCAGGGGTGCCTGTAGGGCACTTACGGACTTCACCTCTGCCTTGTACTCCTGGCACAGCCACTGAGCTTTTGGCAGCCAGCGTTTCATAGGCTTCCAGGACTGGAAACTGTTTTTCACCATTGTGTTCAGTAACCCTGGATGAACCTTTCTTCTTTGCATTTGTTCATTTGTATTTTGAACATCCTCACAATTCATGCCAATGAGTTCCACAGTCCAATTTTGCTTTGTGCCAAATCGTAAATACATATATATGTACACGCACGCCTTCCTTTCTTAGTTTTTATTCTGCTGTATGATAGTCATGTTGGTGTCTTGCACTTTCTTAGGAGAAATGATGAATTAACCGTTTTCTGTGGACTTTCTCCTTGTCATTCACAGTCATACAGACCTCTGTAGTGTTCCCCCTTCGTTGTGTCTTCCAGTCTGAACACTGCCAATTTGTCTAGTCCTTCTTGTACAGAAACCGTTTCTTACCAATCATCACCTGTCTCTCCCTGCTTTTTATCTTTTCTAGTTAGTTCTTCTGCATTTGAGATGGGGTGACCAGAGTGAATAGCCAGATTTAAATGAAGATGCATAATTTCTACAGTGGTGTAACTGTGTTTTCTGTTTTCTCTGTTCCTTCATAATTACTCCTAGCTTTCTCATTGCCTTTTTGACTGCTACTCAGCCAGCTGCCCACGGAGTTACCCGCAGTGACTGCCAGGTCTCTGTCCTGGGTGGAACAGAGCTAATTTAGAGCCTGTTGTTGTGTATGTATAGTTAGGGCTGTGCATCCCTGTGAGCACCACTTTACATTACATCAACATTGAATAGTGTTTCCTTTTTATTGTGCACTCAGAATTTGTAATATCCTCCTGCAGTTCTTTTGCAGCTAGTTTTGCTTTGACTGTCCTCTTTTTCTGTTTCTTTTGTGTTTTTGTCAATAAGCTTTGTCACATCACTGTTCACTTCCTTATCCAGATCACTTTACAAACAGCACAGCACAGATCCTTGTGGGACCCTGCTGGTAACCTTCCTCCATTGTGAAAAATGGCTATGTATTTACGCTGTGTTTCCTATCTTTTAATCAACTATGGAAAGTCTTGTAGGATTTTCCCTCTTAATCCTTACCATCTTAGCTTCTGCCAGAGTATTGGTCAGGGACCTTCTCAAAGGCCATCCAGATCACTGTTTCCCATGTGCTTCCTAACCTCTAAGAGGTCTGGGAGGTAGGACTTGCCTCAACCAAAGGCAAGTTGATTCTTCATGGTTTTATCTCTTATATGTATGGATACATTCTAATCAATATTTATAGCTTCAATGACTGTGCCAGATATAGCAGTAGAGTTGTGCAGTTTCCCAGATCCCTGCCATGTGGGAGTTTCCACGAAGTGCTTTTTCCAGCATGTGCAAGGGGCAAGAAGTGTGGCTGTGGACAGAGGTGAGAACTGGGAGTCGCTGCCCCTTCAGCTGCTGTGGCTGTGGGCAGTGAGCCAAGTCTTGGGAAAGCCCTTTCCCCCCAGCTGTTTAATCTGTGTGAAGCTCTGCTATTCCTGTCTTTTTTTCCACCTCCCCTTTTAATCTTAAAAACAAAAAGGTGGGGGGATGAAGAGGTGAGCCTCTGTGCAGCCAGATTCTCGTTTTCTTCACTTCCCTCTAATGCAAGTGTAGGGACTGTTTGGAGATGATGCGCAAAGGAGAGTAAATTGTGTTCTTATTTTAGTTTGGAAAACTAACCATAGCTGCTTCAAAGATAAAGGGTTAAACCTCTTTTCTCAGGTACCCTGTGGGTTTTATTTCCTTCATCTCCATTTCTTTCTGTGTTTCACTGACAGAACATCGTGGTTTGTTTTCAAATTGTAATTCCTTGAGTATGTTGCAGTTGTTGCGTTTAGAAATGGTCTCTTGTATAGGTCTTTATGTGCTTTATTTCTTTAAAATAAAAAAGATACTTACTAAGGTAGAATGTACGGGGAAGTCAGACTCTTCAATAACATAACCATAAATACTTTCCTGCATTAAGATAATTCTTATTCTCTCTTTTGCCTGCTTTACTGGGAAATGAAAGATCAGAACCTTGTCATGGTATTGTCTGTACAGTCCAGAGAAGTTCTTGGGAAGTTCTATTCTTGCTGACTCATAATATAAAAATAAATCAGCATTTAATGAAAAAAAGAAATTGCACATTCAGAGACAATAGAAGGGCAATAATTCTTGCATTGAGTGCTGCCTTAGACTGTGGAGCTCATTGGCACCTGGAAGTGTTCAAAAATGTATTGAGAGTCCAGAGAAACGGTGGAGCACAAGAGCAGTTGGTGGTGTTGAGAATTTTAGAAGAGATTTTTCCTCTGCATCAGAGCTTAAGCTCAGCCCAAAGTACTAAGAAGCAGAATGAAGGCTTGGAGAGAGGAGTTTGAGTGATAAAATGCTAAAATAAATATAGACAAGGAATAAGTTTGTTCTTATCACATTAGATAGGGTGAGGAAATAACTTCTCATAAACACCATGCTTCTGTAGTGTTTGTACCTCCAGGAAATATAAATGTCAGTCAGTTGGTACTGAGAAGGAAAATAAAAAGCTACATTAGTATCCATATGTTCTCTGTAAGCCAGAGCCAGCTTTTCAGGACAAAATATTCATAGATACACATATACAATGCACTGCTTTGCTGTTACAAGTCTGGCTCATTCTCCTAAGGCTGTTCTCCAGGAGGAAATCCTGGCTTTTTTTCCAGTTAGACAAGTGCAGCATCTCCCTTTCGCACCCATAAGGGGCGAACAGAACTGCAAACCATCTACAATTAAAATTGCTGTAAGCTTCGCTTACTTGCTTTGCTGTATGTTTCTGATCAAGAGGGACAGTTACCGTCTTTTCTTTACTGAAAGGTCGTCAGGCATTGGAACAGGCTGTCCAGGGACGTGGTTGGGTTGCCATCCCTGGAGATGTTGAAGAGTCGGGTAGACGTTGCCTTGAAGGATGTGGTTTAGGGATAGGACAACAGTTGGACTCGATGATCTTGAAGGTCTCTTCCAGCCAAAACTGTTCTATGATTCTGTGATTCTGTCTGTCAAGCAGAAGTCAGGAGTTGAATCAGATTCATTCTGAGCAGTCTGAAAGCAAATAAGAACTGTAAATGTCACAGGCATTTTAATTACTGTCATTTGTGCATGTTTGTACAAAATGTACAGGCTCACAGGAAGCAAGAAAATACAGTATCTGGGGTTCCCCACCTCTGTACCATGGGTATGTGTTTTTTCTTCATAGCAGCTTGAGTGTAGGGAGGAGAAAGATTTTGGCCTAAATGCCAAATTTTCTTGACGTTGCTAAAGAGGCTGTCAGAGCAGATCTGTCTGCATCCCGTGAGCCAATTCAGGAGTCCGCTGTTGGTCCCTCGCAGCTTAGTTCTTCTGGTGTTTTGTGCTGAAAGCTTTTGATGCTTGTACCAACATAGCTGCAGTGGATTAAGGGATGTTTAACAGAGGAGAAATTTTACCAGCTCATTCTGTGTCACCTCAGCGGGACTGAAACATCAGACGTACTTCACTTTCCTCCCAGTTCCCTTTCACGCTGCATCACACCTCCTCCACGTGAATGATACCGTTGCTTCTGCTCTGGTAACAGTGGAGGCAAGCAGAGCCTGACTGAGTCAATGACTTTAATGAATTGTTGTGGTGCAATGCAGGTTCCGGGTTGACCAATGTTAAAACTTCAGAAGAGATATCTGAAGTGAAGATGGATGCGGAGTTCCGGCATGACTCAGGATATGAAGTTCGTCATCAAAAGCTGGTGAGTGAACAAACCATGCTTTCCACACGTGCGTTTTGAGTTGCTGATTCAGTCTTGAAGTAGCAGATCAATTATGGCCACGTTTCCTCTGAGTGATGTGGTTGCTCAGAGTGCCAACAAAAAAGTTCTCACGTGAGCAGATTATGGTTTTTCTGGTTCCCTCTTAACTGAAAGTTAACCTAGAATAATTTCAGCAGAGAGGGTAGAAAGACACCAAGTCTCACATGAAGAGGAAATTCTGACAGTTCCTGCTCTTGCACTGTCCTGTGACTGGATGTGGTCGTATGGGCAATACTTGTCCTACAGTCACATCACATAACTAAGGGGGAGGGATACAGAGGAAGAAAAATGTTAAGCTGGTTTAAAATGAAAAAAAAAGTTTGATGGAGGCTCACAGACAGCATGGTGCAGCAAGAAATAGGGTGACACCGTTTCAGGAATAGATTCCTTTCCTTTCAAAACAGATGGTGGGTGATGGTACAGGAAAGAGGCTGAACTCCATGGAGCATAACCTTTCACAAGATTGTCTGCTTGGGATAAGAGGAGATTCTCCACTGGCCTTGATTTTAATTTGTACTAGGCTGTATCTGTGTGGTTTGTTCCTTAAGGTATATTAAATGATTAACAGGTGAAGGGCAGGTAGGAGCAAAATATTGTTCCCCATTTGAACTGTGTTTCTTATGAACAACCAAAAGCAATGTAAGTAAGAAAAAGCATCTTCTAAAACCTTTTTGCAGTCCCTTAATAAGTAATGAAGAATCCATACAGTAGTGTTGAATATAAACCTTTCTTGCTTCCTCTTTTGTAAAGGTATATTACATGATGAGATTTCAATTCCATGACTTTCAATATCCTGATGTTGAACTTGAAAGCTTTTTTTCTTAATATATTCTTAAACCTAAGTAGTGCTGAAAATTAAAATTAACATGGGACTCAAATTTGCATTTGAACTAGGCAATCACTGTGTGAAAAGATATTCTGCCATCTCTTTGATGCCGAGAACTGAGAATTCCCAGTTTGATGAGCTAATCCAAAATGCATTAGCACTAATTTGGGAAATTCTGACGTGCTTAGCTCTAATGGGTTAAACATCCTGAAGGAGTGAACCTGTGCAGTTTACTGAAGGGAAGGAGCTTGAAGGAGTGTGTTTTAGATACAGTAGTTATGAATCCTGTGACATATGCACTTACCAGCACTAACCTTCAATGTTTTAAGTAGTTTGATACAATCCCGAGCAGTTTGGTGATGGAAACTACCTTTACCGTTGTGACTAGAAGGGAATGCGTTGCAATCTGTAATCTCTCATGCTTAAAATGGGACTTTTCCAGCTTTGTAAAGCATTTTATGCCATACTTTTTACTGACAGATACAACCACTATTTAAAAATTTGTAAGCAGTCCTACAGGTTGTCTTTTCAGTTGAGACTGAGCAAGGAAGTACCGGACTGATGCCTTACAGGGCATTGCTTGTTTGCCACATGCTATGTCCTGGCCGATGCCCTTTCCTACTAGCTTTAATTAAAAAGCAGTAAGCGAAAAATTCTTTCGTCTGTGTTTTCCTTCTCCTGTTCCCTGGTAGGATTTACTGAAACAGTCTCCTGCGGATATTGCTTTGAATTCAGCTGTACAATGTATTTTACACGCAAAGTTCTGAATTGAGCTGAAATTGCAGTTATTTTCTCCTTTATGAGTGTTCCCGTTTTAACTGTACATTAAGTTGATTTTCATGGCTCAGAGTGCTTAAGGCTTTCCTCTGCTGCCCGTGTGTGTTAGCTGGGGCATTTCACAGTGCTCCGAAATAGTACGGTAACAGAATTTAGTCTTGGGTGGGTAAAATCGACAAGAAATTACTGCTTCACATGAGCTTATGCCAACACTGTCCATTGTGTGTACTTTGCACTGAATTCTTAACTTTATGCACATTTCTTGCTTATGGCTAGGGACAATATAAATATTTATATGGCATGCTTTACTACCTCTCTGAGGAAGATGGTGTTTCTTAAAGAGTGCAAATGTTATACAGCTCATTATAATTCTCAGCTGGTTTCCTGCTTCCCTCTGCATTTTTGTTAAATACTTATCAAAGTGTTTCATCTTTCAGAGTGAGGTAGTCTTACAATTCTGTGAATGTAATTTATTCTCTAATCCTTTTTGCCCATTTTGGTTAAAAATAATAATAGTAATAGCCCGCTATCATCAAACGGACAAAAGGTTTGTAAAGTATGCAGAGATATAAAATTATCCAGCATGTTCCTTGAATACAAAGCAGGACAGTGAATACAATCCGTCATTTTTCATACCTGCTCCTATTGCTAAAAGGCATCTTATTAAATGTGTAGTAAAGCATCTTGCTGTCCACGGATTTGCCCTATCAGTACACATAATTCAAGTGGATGTTCTGTTTTTCACACAACTGTTGCCTTGTCTAAGTCTCACGTGAGTATAGTGAGAATCCAGCCATAGCTCATTCTCCCTTCACCCGCCAAAATCTTGATACATCCCTTCATGGTCACTTAAATAGGCGTGCGCATGTTTTTTAGACTCTCATCTCTTTGATGTGAGCATTTTCTCCCAGCTGGTTGTGTGCAGGTTTCACGGTTGTCCTCCACAGGTCTTTACTGCTCCTTTAGTGAAGAAATGCATCAGGCATAGTCCAAACAGGCCACACAGATGTAGATTTATGACCACTTCCATTAGCATCCTAAAAATAAAGAAATCTGTATGTTACTCCTCTACAAGCTTATCAGTCATTTTGCAATTGGCTTGACTCTCCTACCCAAGGGAAAAAAAAAAAGCAGCTCCTATCTCAGACCCATGTGAAGCAGAGACACGGAGATGAGTCTTCCCCTTAGCTGCAGCCCTGCTACCCCACAGGCAGTACAGATTTCCCAAATTGCTCTTCTCCGACTACGAGAGCTTTGTTGTGGTAGAGCGTAATCTGAAGAATTAGGGTGATATGCAGTGCTGCTTAATTACTGGTACTTCAACAGGCTTTATATTGCTGTGGCAGCTGGACAGGTTAGCCAGATACTCAGTGAACTTCTTGTTAGCCACCTTCCTTTTTTTTTTCTTTTCTAGGTGTTCTTTGCCGAAGATGTGGGTTCAAATAAAGGTGCCATCATTGGTCTAATGGTGGGAGGTGTTGTCATAGCAACAGTGATTGTCATTACTTTGGTGATGCTGAAGAAGAAGCAGTACACATCCATTCATCATGGGGTTGTGGAGGTAAGTAAAGACTATCAAGCACAAGTGGTGTCACGTGTACAACACAGTCGACACTCTGCTCTATAAATATATTTACATATAAAAAATACATGGGTTTGGCTAGCCTGATGTTCAGAGCTGGAATGGTTTCATCTAGCAAAGCGGAATCAAATTGCCTTATTTTGTAAACGCAGACACAATATAAGCTGTGTTAAGTTGGCTGTAAAACCACAAAAATATTTTCTGGAACTATCCCAGACCAATCACCTCATACTGTGAAAGTTCATTTTATAGGAATTTTAACAGTAGCCAATGAGCAGATACAGTACAACAGGAAAAGTCTGGTTTCACCATTGCTGGGAATTCACACACACACATTACTTTATTTAGCTTGGAAACAAAATTTGAGGCAGGTCTTCTGTGGATTGTGCTGTACACTACAAGGATTTTTCCTGTACAGATACTTTATTACTTTTTCTTCTCTTAACAAGGTTTTCTTTTGCCACCAACAGCTTTTGATTTATGACTAATCTGAAACTCAAAGATTTGAGAAACAAATGGTATATAAGACTATTATATGAAATTTTCAAGTTGAAAACCCTTGTTTGTTCTCAGTCTACTAAGTAAATTTGTGGTCAGTTTAGAGTGACTTAAAGTGCCTCGTCTGTTGGTTAGATTTAAGACCAGATCTCTGTAAGCAGAAAAACTTAATTATAAGAACTGGAAGGAGGTTCATGTAACTTTTTTTCCCCTTGTGTGTTGATCTTTAGTTCGCTGTGTGAGTTGTCTGGTTTGCAGATAGTACTTGTATTAGCAAACACTTGGGATTTTTTATATTTTTGCCTTCCAATACTGGTATTTTACATTTTTTTACAGAAACTAAGTCTTATTCAAGTCCACAGTTTATCTTAGTTTCACCTTGAGTCAAATGAACCTTGCTTCAGTCTTGCTGGAGACATACCTGCCCTGTCCAGGGCAATGCAGGGTATTAAAAATATTTGAGTAAGCCTTTGTCTTAAGCTTGTGCTTGTGAATCACTGTGTCCATGCTGCAGTTGCCCATGGAGTTTGAAACCCTCCAAAGAGACATGGTCAGAAGAGCACCAGCTGTTTGGGGTGATATTTGAGCAGACAGCAAGCTGTGCAGAATTTTGGACCAAGAGGCAGAAAACAGCAAGGAAGAAGCTCAGCTTTAACTTTCCATATGAGAGCTTCCAGCCCATTTTGTAGAAAACTTAAAACAGGTCTTAGTTTTAAACCATGGAGTTGATAGCTGCTGCCAGCAGTTGTGCAACCTGAGACCCCTCTTTGGCTGAATTTAGCAACAACAGAATAGGCCAGGAGGCTTGCTAGGCCAAAGCCGCAGATTAGATGCTGAATGTGGACGTACCGTTTCTGCAGGATGACCTTGACATTTCAGGTGGGCTTCACCTGACAGAATGGTGTGGCAAAGGTAATCCTGGATTCCTACAAGCTTTCTTCAGTGAACTTCAAAATGTTGTGCTGGAAATAACATGCGTGAACTGAACGCATCAAAATAACTGCATCACTTTAAGGAATGAAAAATTTTATAGATAAAACCATAAGGCTATAGCATGCAGATGTACCAAGAATGTTAGTTGATTTATAATACCACAGTGTAGGTGATGTAGATGTCTGGCATTGGCAGGCAGGATTCCTCATTCTGCCAGACGTGCTTTCTGGTCTTGGCAGACTGCATAGCCTCACCGTCTGAGCTTCTTGCCTGCAAGAAAGGCATAATATCTATTTTTGTCCTAGGTTTTGTAGCACTTACTTTGGGAAAAAAACCAAAGCAACAAAGAAACTAAAGATCCATTTGTGATTGATGTTCAATATTAAAGCATCTTCAGAATTAAGCTGTTTTGTTCTAAAGAGAACTTTTAATGTGCTGTGCACATAAAGCACAAAAGAGCAAAGTCACTTGTAAAAATAACTGTACATCATCTCTAAGTTGAGTGAGTATTTTTTGACCAATCTTGCAACATGTTTGTTGCATGTCAGAAGTTACTCTGAGTTGAATTCTGTGATAATGGATACAAGATTACAAAACAGGTCCTGTTCGACCTGTATTCTTACCTTCCAAAAAGTCAACTCTGACTGTATTATTTTTACTCATTTCACTGTTTCTTTAACACAACGCATTATTGAGAATCCTGTTAGCCTTTTTTTGAAGCTCTGAGGAGGAATATATTTGCCCTGTTTAGAAAAAGTGTCGTAATAATTTTCTTCAAAGTCTGAGAATATAAATGTTTCAAAGTGATTTAGCCTCTCCAGGAGAAGGGCTGCCACAGTTAAGTAAGTAAATGACTGAGTGATTGAAAATTACTTACTATATGTGTTCATAGGAACTCTGGCAAATGTTTTGAAGGTGGTTTTTGCTGGTGCACCCACCCTTGCTGTCTGCAGGAGGTTACCTCCTCCATGAATGCAGGTGGCAAAAGAGAGGTTCTCACCTCTCCTGTGCTCTAGACTAGAGCTGACTGTCTCTAATCCTCATCTTCCAGGATCTCCTCTTTGAAGCTCATTTGCTTTCTGTTACGGAGGCAGCACCTCCAGCAGGAGCATGTGGGGAGAGGTGACAATGGGAGGGCTCACAGCAGTAGCAAAGAAGCCATTAAAATTGCTGTAGTACTCTCCCATCTCTCAAAGTCCAGTCTGTAGTTGTGTATTAGGCAGCATCCATTTACCAGCAATTAAACAACGTTTTGTTCCCTGCATCTCTGAGGGCTTCGAACACCTCCTTGTCTGGTCTTTTGATCTGCCCTACGTATGTAGAGCCAGCACGTGAATTCTTCTGCAGCATTACAGTCTTCTTGATAACCACAGTAGGATTTTCTGTGTGAAAGATCCATAGGCTGGAGCAGAAGGGGATAAAGGGACAAACAGTCTCAAAAGAGGTTATCTACCAGACCGAGCTGTTTTCTCAAGAGACATAGAAAAGAGAAGTGTCTGGGCTGCTTCTCAGCAGCGCTGAAGTACCCAACACCTCTCGCGTGCTGTGTTCAGCTTCTGCCACCTCTATAATGGGTGCAAAAAGCTTCTTAAAATGGTAAAGGGCTTTAGGGTTTTACTGACAAGGAGATAATCGGGTTCAAGGCATGTTGTTTGAGAGAGCAAAGCCTAGGACAGAGGCTGTAAGGAAGGACAGGGAGAGTTTTGTAGAGTGAAAATGGGTAAAAGTGAGCAGAGGACATCCAGGATGAGCGATAGTGCCTGTAGGTTGGCGGTGAGATGGATTACCCTGCAGCAGCAGACAGCTGCAGGAAGGAGTGGAAGTGCCAGCACTAGTCATTTTAAAGGCTAAAGGGGAGATTAAAAAAAAAAACTAATAAAATATGACTAAGACTGCAAGTAGGAGCCTCAGTAAAACCCATTCATCTATAAATGCCATATTTCAGAGGTTATCGGACTTTCACTATAAACTAGTTTTATCAAAGTGACACTTTTTAATATGGAGTACTGTGCACAGGTGTTAAAAAATCACTCTGATTTTACCATCCTTTCTTATGTTTTTTTCCTAATGCCTTACTCCTCCCTGCTTTCCTTCCAAGTTTCTCTAGTTTCTTGTCAATTCTTCAGTTTCTTCTGCCTCACACTTCCTTTTGATTCTTTTTTATTTATATTGTTGTCTTACCCTATTTCTTTCCCACAAGCAGGTTATGCTGCGTGCTTATTGCGTCTTCTAGGCCTGAATAAGAAGTGCCGAGTGGGAGGCTTAAGCTAAAACGGGTGACAGAGTTCAGTGCAGCGTTGTTTGGAGCTTAAATAGGAAAAAGTACAGCCCAGGTTCTGACATAGCCCTCCTCTGCATCACAGCCTGGTAGGGGAAGCCTCCTAGAAAGGAAGATGCTCTTGGGTGTTTATTGATATGTGGAGATCTGTGATCCTTCAACCCCAGAGCTTCATACTGCATGTTAATTTCATGCCAGAAAATAATCTCTTGGTGGATTTAGTTGTGAATTGTGATGCTCTCACTTCTTGATTTGGAGAAGCACTAGATATCCAGGTAGTGTGGTGTTGATGCTCACAGGAACCAGAGATGACTTGATGCTACAGCAACCGCTTCAAGAATGAAAGGAAGGGTGGGTTTTCCTCTGCACTTGCTTTGTATTCTTATTTTCTGTGAGTGCTGAAAAGGCTACCGGGACATTGGCTGTTTTCCCTGCTTTGTTCTTCTGTCCCCTTCACAGCCACGTTAGTGACAACTTCAGCAGCAGCAGGCGGCATGCAGTGACGTTGTCCTAATGGAAGTAGTTAAGGCTGTTAAATTTTCATAGTCCTCAGAGCAGGGATTAGGCCTTTACGTCTTTGTACATCCTTGTACAAAACCTATACAGAATGGATTTGTTGGGCCCTGCTGCTCTCATGCCGATAACATACATCAAAAACAGTCGCTCTACCAAACAGCAGTAGCATCGAGGAAGTGCCAGAAGTTGATGTGTCACATATGGATATAGAATCATAGAATGTGTTGGACTGGAAGGGATGTTTAAAGGTCATCTCATCCAACCCCTCTGCAGAGAGCAGGGACAGCTTTAACTAGATCAGGCTGCTCAGACCCCCGTCAAGCCTGGCCGTGAATGTCTCTGGGGTTGGAGCCTCCACCACCTCCCTGGGCAACCTGTGCCAGTGTCTCACCACCCTCATAGTAAAGACCTGCTTCCTAATGCCTAATCTAAATCTGCCCTGCTCTAGCTTAAAACCATTGCCCCCCATCCTGTTGCTGCACGCCCTTATAGGCAGTCCCTCCCCAGCTTTCCTGTAGGGCCCCTTCAGGTACTGGAAGGCAGCTCCTTGTGGAGGGGAGCCCTTTCTGCTGGGCACAGGTGAGACTTGAGCAGCAGCACACACAGATGACTCTTTCAAACGCGAGTGCCCAGCTGTACACTCGCTGCTTAGTTGCTGTAGAGAGATGTCATGGGGGTTTGGGTGTAGAGGTTGAAGAGGAGATGGGCTCTGAAATTCCCAGGGGTTCTCCTGTCCTTGTTGAATCAAAATGAT